GGGGGGGGGGGGCGCGGTAGATTCAAGGTAGAAAGTTTTCCTACCTTTGGAGTAGCTGCTTGAATGTGCATTCCAAATTTTGCTGCACTCATCATGATGGAGTGCAGAATGTTGTTCCCATCCCCAATCCAGCTGAGGGTAAGGCCTTTCAGAGAGCCATAGTGTTCCTAAAAGGCAAGGGATGGAGGAGATTATATCCAGGAGGAATTCCACTATGTGAAACAATTATTAGAGTTAAAATTTAAAAAAACAAAAAACAGTCTTTACCCCAATTTTAATGCTTTGTTGGAATGATTAAACTATTGTTTTGCATTATACAGAGAAATTAAATAATATGAATGTACAATCACAAAAATAGCAAAATGTCCTAATATCTTAAACCAATACATCTTATGAACTCATATGAACACTCATATCTTCAAACTTTTCAAATCTGAATCTTTGTCATATTCATTCATTCATTCATTCATTCAACAACTTAAGCACCATCCATGTCCACTTTCCTTGGCCCTGTAGATATAGCAAAGAACAAAGAAAAAAAAAAATCACTGACTTTATGGAGTTTACATTTGTTGGTATAAGAAAGGGGAAATACAATGCACCTAGAACAGTGTAGCCTGGTAGTTGAATATGTTTTCATGTATATAAAGTTGAAAAACATGTCTATTAATACTCTTAGCTGCTACATGTATAGACATGTGTAGCTAAACACATGCCTTGGAATTATAAATATAGACATCAGTATAATAATTCCCTTGTGTGGTGGGAGGAAATGAGATCAGGAAGAGTTACACAGTCAGCTTCAACTCTATCTGTAATAATATTTTATTCAAAAACAGCAAAAAATTCTAAAGTAAGATTTGACAAAGCTGTATGATGGGCATATGGGTGTTTCTTTTCTTTTCTTGAGGTATCTATAGGTTTTATATATTTTTATGTTTATAAAGATAAGATTAAAAAAAAATAAAGGCTAAGCAATTTGGAGATCACTGAACTATTAGGTGACTAAGCTAGGATTTAAATCCAGGTCCATCTGATTTAGATTCCACGCTCCTCATAAGCTGCTATTTATTTATTCAACTCTCACTTTGAGGGTCTCCTATATGAAGTCATTGCACCAGGTCCTGCAGGGGACAATATGATGAATAGGGCATTTCACTGTCCCTCAGTGAATTTATAATCTAGTAATGACAATGCCCTAGGGCTAAGCATTGAATTATCTGGTATATATGTAAAACCCCATGAACAAATAGCCACTTGGTATCTAACATCATTGTATCATCCTCTCTGCATGAATCTTATCCTCATCACCAACAAGTTTCATTTTGAGTTTAACTTCACATTTATATGCGCATAGCTTATTCAAATGAGGAGGAATATGGACCTATCCAGTTTTCCCTGCCTCCCCAGAATAGTCCATAGACACGGAAACCATGGTTTTCAGGATTCCCAGTTGCAAAACTATGCAGATTGGCTGTGGCAAAACAAATGAGATAAATCTTTCAAAGTTATTCAAGTTCCTAAATTGGGGGTACATGCCTAAATTTGAGTCTCAATTCTATGTATTGTGCATGTCCTTAAGTCAAGCCTTAAATAATCGGTTTATTAAAATGATAGAAAACAGCCTTCTTTTCAGAAAGTGATTTCGTAATTCACCATTTTGAATATTCAAAGCACACTCCACCAGTTTTCACTCCTGAGCCACAGAGCCTGATGTATGGAGGATTACATAAAGCTTTTCCATTCTGTATGTTCCAGCATTCTGTATTCATCCATTGTGTTAGATATGGCACCAAAAAGCAAAAGGATTGAAAGATCATGGGATGAGAGAGAGTCTAAAGAGGTTGTGAATCCGGTTGAGAACAAAAGGCTCTTACAGTATGTTTTTAACAATGCCCTGTTCCTTGAATATTTAATATACAAACATATGCTATAATTCTTTGCTAAGATGATATTTGAAAACAAAACATTAATGCCATGATTGAAATGGTTCCATTTAGAGCTAGTCAAGAACTATTTATTGATTTTGCTCTTGTATAAGGCAAGGAAATAAGCCAACCTGGAGCGTGAGGTAGTCAGCCAGGATCTGGATAGGATGGTACAAATCTGACAGCCCATTGACGATGGGGATGGATGCTTCTTTAGCCAGGATGTCCAGATCTGATTGTTTATACACTCGAGCCAACACTGCATCTGTCATGCTAGATAACACACTGCAGCAAACCAAGAAAAGATAACCTAAGTTAATTATGCCTAATAATTCCTTCTTTAATATAGAATCTTAAACAGTAATAATAAATGCTAATAAATTAGAATTTTTACTAAGTTACATCTACCGATCACCATAACAGATTTAAAAGCTAATATTAAACATGTAGTCATTGCGAAGCCAGATGTTGTTCCACTGACGTCTTAAGCAGTGACTGCTGATTTTACTATTTTTTTTACAGAGATAAGAAATCAATTGTGGGACTAGCAGTCATAATGATGAATTATAATTAATAAGTAGCAGTTGGTAAAGTTAAAAGAGGCAAGACTAAAAACAAGATACACAGAGAAACATTAATGACCTGGCATGTGGCTAATTTTCTTTTGCACCATCCCATAGACAAATATACATTTTCACTATAAAATTGAAAATACCAATGTGGTAGCCGGCAGAGGCGCACACACAGATTACCATGAGCTCATAGCCCCCAGCTGTTTACCTTCAGAATCCACTGCAGCATTCCTGTTGAGGCCCCAGTTTCCCCAGGCTGCTCCCACCAATGACTGAGCATGGTGGGGGCACCAAAGCTGGGCCATTCTGCCACACATGAGACTTTTCTGATGGGCAGTGTGGTGAGGCTCCTCATCAGCCTGGATGAGAACTTCCCAGAGCTGCACTGTGTCTGAGGTTCTTTCTATCCTACTCCTTCCTTCCTCCTCTCCTTTCACTGGGGTCAGACCTGAATCACCCCTCTGAAGCCTCTGCCTAGCTACTCCTCCTTCTTCTATCCTTAATCCTTTACAGTTGTTTCCCCAAATACAACTCTTGCATCTCTAATTCCATCCAGTGAACTTGAACTGACACAGCCAGCAATGAATTCTTGCAGGGGCTGAGCCTGAGAAGGCATTTAGCCCTTGGCCCTGCACTCTGTATAGTTATCAGCATCTCTGCAAAAGGCAGAAAGTATTCAACATCATACAACACACACACACACACACGCATACACACACAAAATCTATCAAGAAAGCAACACAAATCAAATTGTGGCCACAAATTCAAACAATTCATAGGAAGATGGATATTATTATTATCATTTTATAGGCAAAGGACCTGAGACACAGGGAGTTTAAGTAACTTGCCCTGAATCACATAGCTAATTAAGTTGGAGGAGCTCAGATTCAAGTCAAAGTCAGTTTAACACAAAAGTCCATATTCTTACCATTATAACACATGACCTCAAATTTGATGATGATTTTGGTTAAAATCTTATTTTTTTGTTATTTAAGGGAAACCCTCACAACAGAGGCTTCTAATCATTTCAGTTTTAAGGAACTATTCTTAGTAGCAAAAAAAATTTGGAAATCCTCTCATGATAGTAGTTATATTAAAAGATAGAGTCATGATTATAAATCTGGCTCTGGATTATAAATCTGGCTCTGTAATTTAGTAGCTGTGGGTTCATTTTATACTTCTGTCCTCCAGAAGTTTGTAAGATAATATATTTGTGTTGTTTCAAGTCACTAATTTTCAGGTAATTTGTTAAAGCAGCAATTGAAAATCAATAAAGGGCCCATGATAAAAAGTGAAAACTATGTGATAAAAATATATTCAGCCTAGTGGCCAGCAGCTTGAATTTAATTCATCTTGAATTTAGGAAATAGTTCTCAAAACCCAGTCAAACTTAAGTGGTCAGCAATACACTTAACTTGCATTCCTTGCCTACAAAGATGATTTTTTTCTTCCAGTCTGCTAAAATTACATACATAAACCCTGAAAGTGTATAAAATAGTCTCTTGTAGAATTCCAAACAATCCAGCAGTGTATAGAAGTTTAAATTCCATAACCATGTAAGGATATGAATAAAAGTAAGGATAAGAAAGTAAAACAATATTAAATCTATGATATTAACAGTATTATGCCTAGTTTTGTTGTTAAATATTAATCATCTCTGTAATCAAAATGACATTTTATATGTATCTTTTCCTTTTTAAAATGTTTAGGGCAGCCCAACCAGTGTGGCTTAGTGGTTGTGTCGATGGGTGAGGAGGTCACTGTTCAATTCCAGGTCAGGGCACATGCCCAGGTTGTGGGCTCTATTCCCAGTAGGGGGTGAGCCAGAGGCAACCGGTGGATGATTCTCTCTCATCATTGATGTTTCTATCTATCTCTCCCTCTCCTTTCCTCTCTCTAAAACCAATAAAAACATATTTTTTAAAAATGTTCAGAGCATTCAAGGTATTCTGAAATGCTAAGCTTGTGATTGAGTTAAATATTAAGCATTTGATTAAGCCTGCAATCTATTTAAATGGCTGAGGAAACTTGTGTGCATTTAATATGTATTTGATTTATTGGTTGGATAAGTTTAAAGCAATCATTCTAAAACTTGAACCTGCATCAGAATCACCAGGAGGGTTTGTTAGAATACAGCCAGTCATGGTCTGATTCAGTGGGTCTGGTTTGGGGCCCAAAAGAATTTGCATTTCTAACAAGTGCTGCTTCTGCTGCTGCTTTGGGGAGCACACTTTAAAAACCACTGAGGAATGTTTGCTATTTTATGTTTAAAGGAATGTTAAATGTTTGATAAATTAATAAGATGAACAGATTGGACTGTAAAAAAAAAAAACCCAAAACACTACAGAGTAGGTAATATTCCTACAGACACAAAAAGCCCTTGGACATTAAAGCACCTATGGGCAAAAGGGACCACAGTAAAACTTGATAGAAAATACCACTGCAATCCTCCTTCAGCCACAGAAGGTGAAGGTGAAGTGGGATCGGTGATGTGGGAGGGGAGGACGGGTCCCAGGTTGTTTTCACATTGTAATCACTTGGGAAAACAGAGATATCAAAGACCTTTAAGTAGATTATTAGTTCATATTATTTTGTCAGTGATGTTGCTTTCTACCTTTTGTTTAAAGTTTATATAAATCATGGAGAAATCACCATGATTCTTTCTTCTTCCAGGCGACTAAACATCTTTAAATATAAAAAGCCTTTTCCACTGGAAAAAAGTGACAAACCTGTAAATAGAGCTGGGCTTATAGGCACATTAACTGTAATTTAGGCTTTCTATAGCTCTACATCAATTTTAAACCCCTGCTTTAAACATTGTAAGGGCTGTGTTATATGTGCTACAAATGAAAGGTTGACAAGTTAAACATACTCTCTGGCTCAGTAATGACTTTTCATTTGGTCTCTTTTCATTCCCATTGAATATATAGAATTCTGTTTGCCTTCCAGTGGATTCCTGAAACTTTGCAATCTTAGGTATCTGTCCACAATAGTAGCAAAACCGCTTTTGCAAAATCCAAATTACCTAAATTTAAAGTTTCTCACACATAGCAGTTTCCTCTGGATGTTTAATAGCTAATATTAGGATTTAAAATAATTGACAAGTTAAAAATTTATTCAACTAATTTTGCCTAAATGTTTAAAATGTGTTAGGTCCCCCCCCCCC